TCAATAGCGGCCTTCAGCTCTTCTGCATTGTTCGGTCTCATGTCTCTCATCTTTCTCTTGGCAATGCCCCATAGATTCTCTATGGGGTTCAGGTCAGGCGAGTTTGCTGGCCAATCGAGCACAGTAATCCCACGGTCATTGAACCAGGTTTTGGTGCTTTTGGCAGTGTGTGCCTCTCCATTCTTCCTCCAGACTCTGGATCCTTGGTTCCCAAATGAGATGCAAAAGTTGCTCTAATCAGAAAAGAGAACTTTGGACCACTGAGCAACAGACCAGTTCTCTTTTTTTTAGCCCAGGTAAGACGCTTCTGACCTTGTTTGTTGTTCAGGGGTGGCTTGACAAGAGGAATACGACATTTAAAGCCCATGTCCAAGATCCGTCTGTGTGTGGTGGCTCTTGATGCACTGACTCCAGCCTCAGTCCACTCCTTGTGAAAGTCCCCAACACTTTTGAATGGCCTTTTCCTGACAATCCTCTCCAGGCTGCAGTCATCCCTGCTGCTTGTGCACCTTTTTCTTCCACACTTTTCCCTTCCACATAACTTTCTGTTAATGTGCTTTGATACAGCACTTTGGGAACATCCAACTTCTTTTGCAATTACCTTTTGAGGCTTTCCCTCCTTATGGAGGATGTCAACGATGATTGTCTGCACAACTGTCAGGTCAGCAGTCTTTCCCATGATTGTGATTCTTACTGAACCACATTGAGAGACCATTTAAAGGCTCAGGAACCCTTTGCAGGTGTTATGGCTTAATTAGCTGATTACAGTGGGACACTTTGAGCCTAGAATATTGAACCTTTTCACAATATTCTAATTTTCTGAGATTGTGGATTTGGGGTTTTCATGAGCTGTAAGCCATAATCATCTCACTTATGACACATCACGGCTTGAACTATCTTGCTTTTCATGTAATGAGTCTATTTCATATATTAGGTTCACCTTTTAAGTTGCATTACTGAAATAAATGAACTTTTGCACGATATTCTAATTTTTTAAGTTTCACCTGTATGTGTGTACATGTATTGCACATACTCATATGAATGTAGACTGGAGTTTTGGAATGCCATAGATTCTGTATCCTTTATCCCTTCTATCATAATAAATACCATAATGTTGGTATATTTGTGTTTCATAACATTCAACACTTACTTGCAATTAAATCTTTAATAATGGGATATATGAGGTTGTTAGAGCAGATTAATGCTTAAACAAATTATTTGTAAGCAATTTTGAACATTACCTACTAGAAAGCTAGTGGCTCCTTTTTCCATGTGACAAGAGATGACAAATTGACACAAAGGAATAAATACAATAAATATAATACTCATTTAAGGTAAATCTTTTAATCTCTATACAGGAACAGGAAGACATTTTTAAAGATGAAAGATGAAAAGATACGAGAGGAACTAATTTGAATGTGACAAATATTATTTTAGAATTCTTCAACTTTGTCATTTGGCCTAAATAAATTGAAATTAGAAATAAAACAGAGAAAGGAAAATAAAACATCAGCTCATAACTAAAGGATTATATATACATGCTCCTTGAATGATATAAGTACATTACATACTGGCATCACAAATATGTACACTGTTTGAAATACTGAACCATTTTAGCATACATTAAAAGCTAGCCTCTCAAACGTTTTTTCCTTTTAACTGAAAATCCTTCACGAAGAGATCTGAATCCAGATAGATCTGTTGAAATCACATACATACACATGTCCCTCAAACTTGAATTTATACCGTAATTGCATCTCTGGATCTTGGAATGCAGGCTGAGCTCTGCAAGCAGAATTTGAGAGGACAAACAGTGCTTAATTTTCGTGATGGGAAAAGAAGTGAGGGTTCAAACCTGGAAATCCTATTTTGGTGTTTTCTTTCCAATCCTTTCCAGAAGTGTGGAAAATTTGCACAAGTCTGAGAATTCTGGGTACCACCGGATCGGGAAGAGGCAGCTGGAGTTAACTCAGGGGACATTATTTTCCACCTCTTCTATGAATTCCAGACCTCAATATCTGGGAAAGAATTAGCCGGAGTGGTAGACTGTAAGCAACTCTTTCGCCCTGGTTGTGGCACGTTTTGCATTTGTTTTCCAAAGTTAGGGTCTAGGCGGGGCTCAGAAGCGAGGGCTAAGGTCTAGGAGCGAATTCATCACCACAAAGATGCGAGTGCGAGTACATATATCCGCCAATTTTGAGTTTAAGTGTACACACGCGCACGTTGTCCCTTCCCCATAACCCCGGAAAATTCTGACATTCTACAGCAAATGTAACAATGTACCAGTAAGCAGCGACTCCTCGACAACAACCTTGATGACAGCGAGACGGGGAGGAGAAGAGGAGGAGACAGAAATCACGTCGGTTGGTCGCTTCCTTCGCTCTTCCCTTAAGAGCAACTCCATTGGGCGCCCTTCTCCCCACATCTTTTTCTGCCCTCCTCTGGTGCCCGCCCCGTTACCATCAAGTTCGGTTGAGTCTCTATTGCAAAAGGTGTTTCCCCCTTCCCCTTCCCTTCCCTTCCCTATTTGCTACCGCCAATGTTGGAAGTGCTGTAAAAGAAAAGGAGGTAGATGCGTTAGGCCGGACTGGCCTATCCATCCGATCGACTCTCTCTTTTCTTCTTCCTGCCAGGGGCCTTGCGTTGAGCTGGGGCCGGTGAGGAGGGGGCATGGCTGCTTCGCCTGGGGCCCGGCAGGCCGCCTGGGAAGCAGCCACGGGCCATCAAGGGGGAGGTGGTCGATTGTGAGACTTCTCTTCCTCTTCCTGCCCCGTGTGTGGAGGTAAGTAAATGAAGAGGGGAGGGCAATAATTTGGGGAAGGGACGGTAGGTCCAGGGGCTGCTATGGGAGGGATAATGGGCATGCAAATAGGCAGGGATGGAGTGAAGTAAGAAATGGGGTGAATAAACAGATGTGGGATGGGGATTGGGCAGGAAAATAATTGTTTGCTTGGAGACCTGATTAAAAGATAATTAAATTTTTGGAGGAGCATTGTTCAATAAAGCCTCTGTGATCAAAAAAGAAATAGGGAGAGCTATTGAATTTACCCGGGCTTACAATGTTTCAGGGACACTGGATTATTCACTGCTGGACACTGAAAGCTTGGCTAAAGGGACCTTTATAATGTAGAGTAACTTTCTTCATTGTATAAAATGGAGTAGATTATTGGCAGACAGTCTTAACAAGAATTAGCACAGGATAGTGCTTAGATGTCAGTGCAGGAGAGGCTCGATTAGAAATCTCTAGTTACAAAACTTAGTAAATAATCTTCGGCCTGGCTCACCTACATAGTTTAGTCTACTTCTCTAGGTTGTGGTCAAGATAAAACGAGGCAAGAAAAAACTTGTGTCCTGCCCTGATTTTCCTGAAAGAGCAATAAGATATAAATGTAGCAAGCATACCAATTTTTACTGAACATATCAGACCTAGCTTATCTCAGAATGTGGAATGTTGGGAGCATGCAGTTGAGCATTTCCAAAGCAAATGCTCTGCTGTTGGGGTAAACCAGAGCAATCCTTGATCTGATAAGGTAGTTGCTGAGCTAGTGAGGAAGAGTAACCAATTAGGTCTGGATGAGGGCAGAATGTGACTGACAACTCCTTTTACCAAATGAAATATTTCCTGAAGGATGTGTGCAAAGCAGCACCCAGGATAAGTGAGAATAAAAAAATGAGCATGATAAAAGCAAGGATGAAAGCCCCTTTTCTCAAAGTGGCACTCCCCAGATGCACTACAGCTGTACTTTAGCTGTATTAGTTTGAGTAATTGGGGTGGAAAATATGTTATTTGTGATTTACCTACAGTCATGGACTTCATACGGACAACTATAATGAAATATGGTAATCCTTTTTAAAAAAATATTTATGTAGAAATTTTTGTTTATAAATATGAAATCCCAGCCCTATGTAGATTCTTCCCTTTTTGCTCCCCAAAAGAATTAAAATCTGATCTTCAATTTTTTTTTACTCACTGTGAATGTAATTCGCCCAGTATTCTTCAATATCTTCCTAAATGACTTAATTAAGGCAATAGGAGGGGAACTCATCAAATTTTTAGATGACTCTAAACTGGCAAGAATGCCAACACCCCAGAAGACAAGCTCAGGATCCAAAAAGATGTTGACAGACTTGAACAATGGGCCCTATCCAGCAAAATGAAAATTAATGTGGAGAAAAGCAAAGTTTTACACCTGGGCAGGAAAAAACCAAAGGTACAAGTACAGATTAGACAAAACCTGGCTCAAAAACAGTAACTGTGAGAGGGATCTTGGAGTCTTAGTGGACGATGAGCCAGCAGTGTGCAGCAGCAGTCAAAAAAGCCAATACAATCCTTGGTTGTATAAATGGGCATAGAATCAAAATCCCGTGAAGTATAAGTACCGCTTTATAAAACCTTAGTAAGGCCACATCTGGTATACTGCATCCAGTTTTGGTCACCACATTACAAAAAAGATGTTGAGACTTTGGAAAAGTGCACAGAAGAGCAACTAAGATGATCAAAGGCCTGGAGACTAAAACATATGAAGAATGGTTGCAGGATTTGGGTATGGCCAGTCTAGAGAAAAGGACAAAGGGGGGACGTGATAGCAATATTCCAATATTTGAGGGGCTGCCACAAGGAGGAGGGGGTCAATTTATTTCCCAAAGCACCAGAAGGCAAAAAAAACCCCAATGGATGGAAATTAATCAAGGAGAGGAGCAACCCAGAATTAAGGAGGATAATTAACCCGTGGAATAACTTGCCTTCAGACATTGTGGGTGCTTCATCACTGGAGGTTTTTAAGAAGAGTCTGGACAGCCACTTGTTTGAAATAGTATAGGGTGTCCTGTTTGAGCAGGGGGATGGACTAGAAGACCATATGGATTACACCCCAAGGTTCTCAAGGAACTGGTAGATGTGATCTCAGAACCACTGAACTATATTTTTCAAAGATCTTGGAGCACTGGGAAACTACCAGCGGACTGGAAAAGAGCCGATGTAGTTCCCATCTTCAAAAAAGGAAAAAAAATGGATCCAGGAAATTACAGACCTATCAGCCTGACTTCAAGACCTGGGAAGATTCTGGAAAAGATAATCAAACAACAAATCAGCGAATACCTAGAGGCAAACAAAGTCATTACTAAAAGCCAACATGGGTTTGTCAAAAACAGATCATGCCAGACAAACCTTATTGCATTCTTTGACCTAGTGACAAAATTAGTGGATCAGAGGAATGCTGTGGATATAATTTACTTGGACTTCAGTAAGGCATTTAATAAAGTAGATCACAACCTACTACTCGATAAGATAGAAAAATGTGGGTTAGACAGCATCCCCACCAGATGGATCCGTAGCTGGCTGACCGGCCGTACTCAGCATGTGGTCCTCAATGGAACTGCATCTACATGGAGGGAAATGTGTAATGGGGTGCCCCAGGGCTCTGTTCTAGGCCCAGTGCTCTTCAACATCTTCATTAATGATTTGGACGAGGGTATAGATGGGGAACTCATCAAATTTGTGGATGACACCAAGCTGGCAGGAATAGCCAACACTCCAGAAGACAGGCTTAAGATACAGGAGGATCTGGACAGACTTGAACACTGGGCGCTATCTAACAAAATGAAATTCAATGGTGAAAAAAATAAGGTTCTACATTTAGGCAAGAAAAACCAAATGTACAGGTATAGTATAGGGGGTACCTTGCTCAATAGTAGTAACTGTGAGAGGGATCTCGGAGTCCTAGTGGACAATCACTTAAATATGAGTCAGAAGTGTGCTGCAGCTGCCAAAAAAGCCAACACAGTGCTGGGCTGCTTTAACAGAGGGATAGAATCAAGATCTCGTGAATATTAATACCACTTTACAATGCCTTGGTAAGGCCACACTTGGAATACTGCATCCGGTTTTGGTCACCACGATGTAAAAAAGATGCTGAGACTCTAGAAAGAGTACAGAGAAGAGCAACAAAGATGATTAGGGGACTGGAGGCTAAAACATATAAGGAACGGTTGCTGGAATTGGGTATGTCTAGTTTAATAAAGAGAAGGACGAGGGGGGACATGATAGCAGTGTTCCAATATCTCAGGGGCTGCCACAAAGAAGAGGGAGTCAAGCTATTCTCCAAGGCGCCTGAAGGCAGGACAAGAAGCAACGGATGGAAACTGATCAAGGAGAGAAGCAACTTAGAACTAAGGAGAAACGTCCTGACAGTTAGAACAATTAACCAATGGAACAACCTGCTTCCAGAAGTGGTGAATGCTCCAACATTGGAAGTTTTTAAGAAGAGACTGGACAGCCATTTGTCCGAAATGGTGTAGAGTTCCTGCCTGAGCAGAGGGTTGGACTCGATGACCTCCAAGGTCCTTTCCAACTTTATTATTATTATTATTATTATTATTATTATTATTATTATTATTATTATTATTATTATTATTATTATTATTATTATTATTATTATTTTTATTATTATTATTATTAATCATCTCCAAGGTCCCTTCCAGCTCGATTCTGATTCTGATGCAATATCATTGTTGTGGTTATAGTGTAGATCAGCGGTTCTCAACCTGTGGGTCGCGACCCTTTTGGGGGTCGAACGACCGTTTCACAGGGGTCGCCTAAGACCATCGGAAAACACATATTTCCGATGGTCTTAGGAACCGAGACACGGCTCCGCATCGGGCTCCGCACGGCCTCCTCCGCCATTTGCAGAGAGAGAGAGACAGAGAGGCACTTTCGCTTTCCTTCTCTCTCTCTCTCAGGCGGACTTACCGTATTTTTCGCTCTATAAGACGCACTCTCCCCCCCCAAAAGATGGGGGGAAATGTCTGTGCGTCTTATGGAGCGAATGCTGCCTCCCACTGCGCCGCTCCGCGTCCCGCGCCTCCGTGTTTCAAGCCTCTGGCACAGAACTGCTGGCGTTATGCTTGGGCAGAAGAAGTTTTCTTTTAGAGATGGGGCGGGTGGGCCTGACATTCGCGCGCAGGCAGGACCCCGCCCGCCGAGCCACCGCTTCCCCATTGCCCTCCACGCCAGCCGGCTCCGTCTCCAGACCTCCCAGCTGACGGGCGCAGGTCCGGGGCTCGCCAGCTGACGGGCGCAGGAGGTAGGCACCGCCGCGGCCTCCCAACCGTGCCGCCGCGGCCTCCCAGCCGCTTGCTTCTTCGGCTGGAGCAATTGCAAGGGCTTGCATGGTACCCAAGGGCCGCTGACGCGCTCCCCCGCCGCCGGCGACCATGCAAGCCCTTGCATGGTCGGGTGGGCCTGACATTCGCNCAGGATTCGACCATGCAAGCCCTTGCAATTGCTCCAGCCGAAGAAGCAAGCGGCTGGGAGGCCGTGGCAGCGCGGTTGGGAGGCCGCGGCAGCGCCTACCTCCTACGCCCGTCAGCTGGCGAGCCCCGGACCTGCGCCCGTCAGTTGGGAGGTCTGGAGACGGAGCTGGCTGGCGTGGAGGGCGATGGGGAAGCGGTGGCTCAGCGGGCGCAGGAGGTAGGCGCGCGCGAATCCTGCGCGTGAATGTCAGGCCCACCCGACCATGCAAGGGCTTGCATGGTCGCCGTCGGCGGGGAGCGCGTCAGCGGCCCTTGGGAACCATGCAAGCCCTTGCAATTGCTCCAGCCGAAGAAGCAAGCGGCTGGGAGGCCGCGGCGGCGCGGTTGGGAGGCCACGGCGGCACCTACCTCCTGCGCCCGTCACCTGGCGAGCCCCGGACTTGCGCCCGTCAGCTGGGAGGTCTGGAGATGGAGCCGGTTGGCGTGGAGGGCAATGGGGAAGCGGTGGCTCGGCGGGCGGGGTCCTGCCTA